TATTGGCATGAACATGTCTTAAGTCATACATTGTACATGTGCACAGTGTATGGTACGTCGAACTATTGTACACCTTACGGATAGCAGGGGAAATTATTTCGAACGTGGATATTTTAAAAATGATAAAACCGAGGTATAAAGCATATATCTTTTATCTTTAACAATGTGATTAAACTAAACTAAATATTAGCTCCCGGGGGTCGGGGGGGGGGGGGGGGGGGGGTATTAATGTGGAAGGAAACCAGCGTAACTGGAGAAAACCCAAGTGGTCGGGCAGGTGACCCAATACCTTGCCACGTCCATTCGGGGAATCGAACCCCAGTCGCCGTTGTAAGGCAAGTGCACTATACAATGCGCCACCTGACCACCCGATGTTGTTGATTAGTTTATGTTGAGGGACAGATCTTTATTAGCATATTGATAAAGACATGTATTTAATTCTTTACCAATTTTAACGAAATTATTCGAAGAACTGAACATGCGAAATTAACAGGATACTTTCCGCAACATGGAGTAGATGTTTATGTCACAAACCTTAACACCTACTCAATATCATTCATATATCCATATATGACAATAAATTACATTTTGATCTATAATATCAACGATCAGAGTCATACCAAATATGAAAGTACAGCGTGTTACATTGATGTACAGTGTAATTGTGCACAGAAATAGAGCTGATGTTGTTTACATTAGCTGTTTAAGTGATGACTGGTTTGATGAAGCGTTACCGTACCGATTGATTTCTGATTTCCATTTCAACCACTAATGCTTACTTGTACAATATCTTATTTACATGTGCAGTGGTGTTATATATAGGATCTTACATGAGTTTCCATTTCATATGCGATTTATGAAACGAGTCTAAGAATTTTTCAACATTGCGAGCCTCTGGCGAGTTTCATAAATTTTAATTGAAATGAAAACGAGTGCAAAATCCTTTTTATCACAAGATTATGTATTCGTGTAAAACGACAATTTTCATTCCACTTTGAAACCAAAAGGCCGCCATTTTGACTCCCAGTGTGTAAGTCTGTGACGTCATGTACTTGTCCTATGCCTGATGTCACAAGTGAAACAATTAGGTCATATGTTATGGGTTAATACGCAAAAACATATGACATGGGTACATTCACTGGATAACACAGTACATTATGTAATAAAAAAACGTTATCAATTATACATGTGAAACATAATGTAGTAAGTACAAAATTAATATGTTGAAAAAGCTCGCTTGTATTTATGTTTTGACGTTTGGCACTTGAATACATGCACAACATCAGAGATGGCGTTCATCCTAGAAGTAAAACTTTCTACTTACTGCCCGGACCTGCTTCCTGCGATATATTTTGCTGGTGATGTGTTTCAGATATGATGCATTGAAATTCTGATGCCTTCAGCACTTGTCGTTTTAATTCTTGTTGTGTTTCTTCATGACTTTATTGTACAACACTTGCATGACAAGGTGGAATACAGGTTAATAAAGCACAACCAGTGAAGTGTGTATGTGTGACGTTACGATGATGTATATTTGTGACGTTACGATGACGTGTATTTGTGACGTTACGATGACGTGTATTTGTGACGTTACGATGAGGAGTATTTGTGACGTTACGATGACGTGTATTTGTGACGTTACGATGACGTGTATTTGTGACGTTACGATGACTCATACGATATGTTCTCAGTGACCGTCTTCATACATACGATCAGTAAAGTGTATGTGAACTAAAGGTACGAGATGGCAGTAAAATAGATAGAAATGCTATTTGATTAAGATAATTGGTTTCACGTCTTGGTTTACCTAAACCTGTCCATGCGTATTGTGTTATAAATGAAGCCATGTAATAGCTGTTTAAGCAAATTGCCGAAAATGGCTTTTCATTTCATTGTACCATTGATTGTTGTTGTTTTCTTTTAGTCTTTTGATTAGTGTTCTTTTAGTCCCTGTGTGTAGACGCTGTTTTATGATTGATAGATATCTTATATACTAAGAGATTATGATGTGATCATTTCCATATCTTACTCCGTATCAGCCTGGGATTCCCATATCGGCCCGAGGGGCCGGAGGAACGAGGGCTGATAGGTTCGAGGGCTAATGCGGAAATGGATATGGAAATGGTCTTATAGTCATTTTTCTATCATAAACTGCTCCATAACATCAAAATAATTTCTGTAGCAATAATAAATAAAAACACCGAAAATGTTTATTTGATGAGCTTTACTACATCACATTTTACCTGAAAAACAATGAACAGAATAGCAAATACCAATGGATATGCAATGCAAAACAGCCCATATCACGGACAAATATATGATACATCGTATACTGTTTTTAATTTGAATGCATTTTCAACTATTCGACATACTGGCAGGTATCAAGTGTTCCTATTGGGGTTTCCTCTTTAAGTCGTCAACAACGTCTACATAAGGATCTAGAAGGTACTACTTCTTTGAGTTAAATGACATTAGTAGGAGGGGAGTAGCACGTTCAGCAAACAGGTATCTGCAAAACCTGCTTCATCTTCTCTCTATTTCCTAATTTGGAAAAATAAAAACGCATCACAAATTACTTTCACGTTGGTGCATATCTAATTATTCTATATGAATAAACAATACAGCTCTGTTGAAATATTTGACTGCAGATGTCGTCAAATAAACGCCTGGTTTTGTTAGACAGGAAAAGGATGTTTCGTATCAGATATGAAAAAAGGAGTTAACCTTAAAAGGAATTAAATTTAATTTGACATGGAGCATCCCTAGCCTAAAGAATTATGTGTTGTAAGAATAATATTGTGATGTTCCCTTCCTTCGGTATGATGGGGCGGCGCCCGAAAGAATGAATAGGGTTCAATCCTTATAAAATTAACCCTTATGAACAGCTGGTGGAATCCAACCTTATCAAATATGCATCTAGGGACAGCAACATCGTACAAATGAAGCATGCTGCTGCTCTCGGGGAGAATAAGAGACATCCAAAACAGGAAATGATCCAAACTAGAAACATCCAAAACAGGAAAATAAGGGATTTATGTTTAAAATCAAATTACAATTCTACGGCTGGAAATATATTGACCTAATGTTTCGGAGACCATCTTTTCAAAGAATAATCCTAACGTCAATGTTTATTTGACTTTAGCAACTTATCTTGACATGAATGTCATTATCATGCTCCTAATTAGCAGCAAATTTCGTGTTGTATACAGGAAATGGAGGTTTCTGTCCTCTTTGAGGCAGTGATTGGGCGGAGGGACAATTGATTGTTAATTCTTTTTTCGACTACTCTTTAAATTTGCACCAATGAATTTGAACTGAGATTATTGATATGTATTCATTTGCAATGTATTAATAAATGAAGGATGTCGCTCTTATTTTGAGCAGAGGGGGGAGGTGCATTAGGACAAATAGGACAAAAAACGTTCTTTGTACTCTCCAGTTGTAAAAAGCTTATTTTAACCGTAATTTATTCAAATGATCATCTCATGACCTGTCGCTTCTTTTCTGACTAAATCCAAGATGACTCATAATACAAATTCTGTTTTCATAGACCTGAGTTGTACCTGGTACTTCAAGGGTTGATTTCAAATTCGAAACGACCGCACTGCCCTCTGATTATTTAAAAAAATATTTTTTACTAATTCTCAACTTTTACAGAACGTCTTAAACATGTTTCTGTCCAATTCCTGACCAAGTAGTTCTATACAAACTTCTGGCGACAGTAGGAAATATAAAATGGCTACCCTTTAATTTTAACTTTAACAGAACGTCATAAAAATATTTCTGTCAAAGTCCTTACCAAGTAATTATATACAAATTCCTGGTGACATCTCAACCTCTTGCCCTGTTCAGATTTCAATGGAGACGGGTCAGGTCATTAGTTCAGACCCGATCTGCTTCTTGTTAACTCTAGTTAGTTTTGAACGATTACTTTACATACTAGTCTGACTTCTTACATTTGCAAATCTCCATGAATGTCATTATCATGCAAAATGTCCAGAGTCGGTGTGGGATGGTCTTAACAGTAGCAGTCTTAACTTACCCATCTCATGTATGTATATAACATTGTTACTGTTATTATTTGAAAAGAAAACAAAAAGAAAACTAAGAGATATTAAACAATAAGAGTATATCGTTGTGTTGTGTATACTGTAATTCTTACTCAAAATCAATAACACGTTAGTAAAATATGGACAAAGGAAACGCTTACAAGAATAGCATTGAAGAAGTAAAAGGAGAATAAAATCATGTTATTCTGGAAGGTTCTTTAAACTTTGGATGTGTCCGTCAACAAATGTATGGGTCTTTGTCTGGAATATATGACGTCATAATAGACCATCACATATGAATCACACGAAAACAATCAAATGGTACAGTGGTACTCTACAGATGGTTTGTCAATGCGTTCTTGATTAAACAGCCAACAAAACCCTCCTCATATGATATTTTTTTATAAACATATTTTTATCACTGTCATAATGAACATGCGATCGTTTGATAAGCTGTGTACACTTGTGTATGAAGTATGCACCAACCATGATGAGGAAGATTACTACGCATGGTGTTCCCAGCACTGTCAAGTTTACGTGACTGGACAATGACGCAATGTTCATGTTAACGTGACTGGACAATGACGCAATGCCCAAGTTTACGTGACTGGACAATGATGCAATGTCCAAGTTCATGTGACTGGACACTGACGCAAGGTTCAAGTCTACGTGACTGGACAATGACGATATGCCCAAGTTTACGTGACTGGACAATGACGCAATGCCCAAGTTTACGTGACTGGAAAAGGACACAATCTTCAAGTTGATGTGACTGGACAATGAAGCAATGTTAATTTAAGGGACTAGACATTGACGTCACGTTCAAGTTTGCATGACTGGACAATGACGCAAGGTTCAAGTCAATGTGACTGGACAATGAAGCAATGTTAATTTAAGGACTGGACAATGACGTCACGTTCAAGTTTACGTGACTGGACAATGCCGCCATGTTCATTTTGATGCCCGAAGTGTCCAATGGCATCGTCTACTGGAACAACCAAGGAATCCAGCAAGACTTCCATCTAACAATTTGGACATACCCATGAAATAATCAGGAAAGGCATGCGGTGAAAACACAAAGTTCCCGTTCTCCATCTGGATGACCTTCCACTCGCACTCAGGCCCTTGCTCTTTAACGGACATCAGCCATCTATCTGAGCCTTTTGTCATACTCACAAATTCGTCTGAACTCTCCCGCTGTTTTATATAAACGTAATTCCCCTTCCTCCGAACTTTTTCAAAACAAAATAATGATTCCGGTCCCACTTTCTCTTTGCTGCCGCGCAAGAATCTCAAATCCCCTTCTCCAAAGAATGACGTGTGAGTCTTCAGGTGTGTAGCGTGATATTTCATCCATTTCACGGAACAAAGTTCGAAATCTCCTTGAGTAATCCAGCTTTGATCTTGCAAAAGGTTTTTCTGTTCAAGAAACTTCATAAGAAGGTCAAAGTTTTCTTCCTTGATGTAGGAAACAATGTAGACGTATTCTTTTGTGGGTTTGAGAAACATACTGAGAGCTTCTCTGTCTTGTTCATCAAAGGAGCCGATCACGCGTTGTATACCTCCGGCCAGATGTTGACTGTGGGCTGTGGAGTTAGTGATTGTATAGAACTGACTCAGAATCATGTCACGCAGTGATGCAAGCTTTATGTATAACTCGATAAATTGCATTGCTTTCTTGGCCTTCTCGATCTTTTTGTTTTGGTCATTCTCTTTATGTTCCTTTGCAAGTTCTTTTATTAGCTTTCCGAGCTTGCGAAGAAACGTGGCACCTTGGAAAATATTCATTTGAATATTTATATTTGTTATATCATGCTCCGAAAGGTCCGCTTTCCCTCCTGTTTGGTTAAGGAAGTCAAATGCAAACCGATATAAAAGGTGGAGATCATCGCCTTCCTGTTGTAGTGTTTCATCGTTGTGGCCAGAAAATGTTCGTTTGATTTCATCTTCGACAACCTTCCCTATGGTGACTGTGTTACCCCCAAAAGAGGAGAAAACTTTACTTAACACCCCACAAATGACGGGAACCACGGGTGCACCCAAACCTGTCAAAGAGGACACAGATGACACTACACCTACCACGCCAAGCAACAGCTGGTTGGGATCACCACTAGTGAACTGCGGCAGATGTCCATACAGCTCTTGAAGATGAGACAGCAGCTCCTTCAATTTATCTGGATTTACCGATCCATCTTCGGTTTCAAAATATTGTTTGGCACTCGTACATTTTTCTGTTATATTTACACTTGTAGGTTGTAAATATTCTTCAATCTTGGAGAGAGCGTCAGATATATCACCAGCAGACGACATCGCAGTTTTTGCATTGAAGGGGATTGTTTTTGTGTGTTTGCTCTGAAAATAGATTAAATGGTAGTTAATAAGATACAATTTTAAAGATCGGGAAAAGTAATTAAGATCGAGATAGGAAGGAAGGAAGGAAAACAGAGAGAGATAGAGAGAGGCGGAGACTGACAGACATAGGCGTACGTAACCTCATTAGTTGAAATATCTGGATATAGAAAAGGAGACATTTTTTTTTTAAATAATTCATTTATATCAATATCTTAGGAAACATTATCTATTTAACGTTTATATATTCATTTCAACTAACCATTTTTTGTATAGCTGGAATTATGTTAAGAAATGATACCTTTTTTTTCGGGGGAGAGGGGGGGGGTAATCTTGAATTCATTAGTAATAGGGCTATTATGGAAACCTTTAAGGTACATGCATGTTATCATGTTACAATAGATAGGTAAATTTATCAGGTCACTTTAGAAACGTACACTGAACATGTCACAATAAATAGGTACAGTTATCATGTCACCATATATTAGTACATTTAACATATCACAAAAGATAGGTACATTTACTATGTCACAATAAATGGGTAAATATCATGTCACAATAAATGGGTACATATATCATGTCACAATAAATAGGTATATGTATCATGTCACAATAAATGGGTACAATTATCATGTCACAATAGATAGGTAAATTTATCAGGTCACTTTAGAAACGTACACTGAACATGTCACAATAAATAGGTATATGTATCATGTCACAATAAATGGGTACAATTATCATGTCACAATAGATAGGTAAATTTATCATGTAACTATAGAAAAGTACATTGAATATGTCACAATAAATAGGTATAGATATCATGTCACAATAGATAGGTACATTTATCATGTCACAATAGATATGTACATTTATCATGTCACAATAGATATGTACATTTATCATATCACAAAAGATAGGTACATTTATCATATCACAAAAGCTAGGTACATTTACTATGTCACAATAGATGGGTAATATATAAAGTCACAACAGATGGAAACATTGATCGTTTCAAAATTGATGGGTAAAGATATAAAATCACAATAGATCGGTACATTTATCATGTCACAATAGACGGGTACAGTCATCATGTCACAATACATTATTACATTTATAATGTCAAAATTGATCGGTAAATATCATGTCACAATAAATGGGTACATATATCATGCCACAATAAATGGGTAAAATTATCATGTCACAATAGATGGGCACAGCTATCATGTCACAATAGATAGGTATATTTATCATGTCACACTAGATGGGTATATTTATCATGTCACACTAGATGGGTACAGACATCATGTCACACTAGATGGGTACAGACATCATGCCACACTAGATAGGTATATTTATCATGCCACACTATATTGGTACAGACATCATGTCACAATAGATGGGTACAGTTACCTAAAGCTGACAGCATTATAGGAAAAAGTATAAGACAAAATGAGTAACGATATAAGTACAACTACAGTTGAATTTATGTTTTTAAAAATCTTTCTCTAAAACATTATCGACACATTCATTGAACTTATCTAATTTAAATTCTGGTCTACATTGTATGTTGTATGTTGAGTCAACTTTGGCTTGTAGACAGTTAAAGAAATATTGTAGATTTACCTGCATTTGTATTTAATCGTCATGTTGACCTATCAGTCCATAACACACCGTAAATCAGGATATAGTTTCGGAATGTTTACTAAGGGACGAAGTGCCTTTGCACTTATGGTATGTTAGAATAAGATTCGCTTGAGAAATCTCTAAACATATGAGTGTATATACAACCTAGCAGACAAACATGCGTGCACCGGTCATTATATGACAATAAAATCAGTATTATCTGAACTGCAGTTCAAGTATGAAAGATTTAAATATATTGCTTTTGATAGCGACGAGAGAGAAAATTAGAGAGAATGCACGACAAAATATAGTTTTTTATTTTTTTATTTTGTATGTAGCCATGATACAAATAGTGATATTAAATACGATCTATGAATTATCTTATATCCGAATATTTAGACATGCTGATAGGTATTGGACGTGTAAGCATATAAATGATCTTTATCAATTATTTTGTAATAATGTTATAAAAACAACACTTTCAATAAACGTGCAATGTCAGCTTTTGCATGCCCCTTCCCTAAATTGTATCAGTCATTCCACTCAAACAGGAAGTTAATTAAGATATTATGGTTTAACCAATAGTAATTTTTTGATAAATCAACCGTTTCATTTACAGCGATTCGTATTTAAACTGAACATATTCTATATAAATATATAAACATGTATGTAGGTAAATATTTAAATAAGTAACATAAACATGAATAAAACCAGATCAATTTACCTGTTGACACTTGCACACCTGATCTTGCACAGGTAGATGACCGTTGCTTAAATAGACCAAAACTATGTCAACGCTACTTCAGTTCACCGGCGTTGTTTATATATTCTTAAAGGCACACGGACTCAGCATATGGATAAATCCTGACGCATTTCATATTCCGATACACATATATTTATTGAAAAATCTTAAAATGGAAAACAGTGATAGTTTTTATTCCTTTGACGACATTTAAATGTGTTACCCTTTCTCAGAAAGTAAAGTACATAGCTTTCTCAAATTTGATTAGAGGGTTCTTGCTGTCTCTTATTTGTATATATCATTTCGATAAATTCATGGTGGTGAATGCTTAACCTAACAGACTGTATAGTGTAAACAGTAAACGGATTTCGAGTCGCTACACATTGTACCACTGGGTTTATTACACTACCATAAATAACACGCCAAGCTTCATAATGTATTGCATTCTATAAAACTTTAAACAATTTATGATTAATATGATCAATACATCTAAAATAGCAAAATACAAAATACAAAAAACACCAAGAAAGTGCTTTACCATTATACAGTAAATGTCTTTTCTCCCACTTCTCTGTCATTTTGCAATCTGTCATAATCTAAAAACAGGAAACCATAAAATGGTGGCAGTCTGTAATCAGGACACTCTACTGATTGTCGTTTCGTATCCTGTTGTTGATATAATTACGAGTATATCATACAACTCTACTGCTTGTCGTTTTGTCTCCTTGAGTGTGCATTCAATCGTATACCCGGGACACTAACATATAAAACACACGAGTCAACTCTTACAATCAATTTTATTTACCTGTGTTTACCTGCACACACATTGACTTTGTACAGGTAAATATATATACAAACTTGGTCACGCTATCGGCGTTATCAAATCACATAAGTATGTGATACTTACAGCATATTTTTTAATCTGCAACTACTGAACCGAGGTTTCATAGTAAGTCAATCACTTTGTTTTGTATGCTTATTGATATTAATGATGCATGTAATACGGCCATGTAAGCCTTTTACAAAAAACTAGTCGTATAAAAGGTTGAAAGATTTAAAAAAAAAAAAAAAAAAAAAAAAACACAGCTATAAAGGCAACGGTTAACTATAAAGCCCTATAAAAGGTTACATTTGCAACTTTTGGAAACGAAAGAAATTTTCAACCAATATTACATATCAGCCAAATTATGGTCCATCTGCAATTATTCATTGTATTGTAATTTTACTTTGTATGACTTCTGTGTGAACAACATAACATAAATTATCGTGATTTACATTTTTATGAAATTATTTTGCTGAATATGTATAGAACTTTATGTAAACATACATATCAATAGGATATTAAAAAATTGTCTAGAATGCAGTGATTTGCTATGAAACACTACCAAATTGTGCAGAGAGAATATCCGCGTTCAGGAATTCTCGAAATCTATTATCTTTATATCATATATATATTATAAACAAATACACAAAAATACTTAAAGCTAAAGAACCTAATGTATATATATTTTCGGTATTTTTTTTTGGCGAAATACTGTCGCTGTAGTCTTTAATACAGCTGTCATTTGATAAGATATCGTAATCATCACGATTACTGTAGACACAATAGCAATACAGATATATAAGCCTTAAGTGCTTTGTTTAAATAATTAATTATCGTCAAACCATCAAAACACAAGAATACTGTTAGTAATAAAATATAAGATATAAACACTCAACCACAGAAATTCAGGAGACACCAAACAAGGAAAGAGAAAGATATGAAATCCCAAGCAGCTTACCAGGGGCTTCGAAGGTTCGGGTTAAGTCTAGGCAATTATGTATGCTATTTACACTCATCGCAAATGCTGATATGTCATAGTTGGGAAATTACCTATCAGAAAAAGAGACCTGATTATGTAGATCACTTGTCTACAACGAGAAAGAAAGAACAAATTGTTTACAAAAGAAGAACAAAAACAACTCATTATACGAATAATTATGTTATATTTTTATTGGAGACAGAAAACAGTTCCTACATTTTTGTTGATTTTTAAACAGTTTCAAAAACCCGATGGAAACTTTCGGGTACAATCTTTTTACCATAGGATCGGTATCAATTTGGAGAGTTTATATGCTATTTTGAAAAAATGAGGGCAGTGTGAAAAAAGATATAAAAAGAAACTGACACCCGTCATATGAATCTACATTATGCAGGTTAAATTCTAGTCATGTTTTCAAAGTGAAAACTAAGAAAGAGACAATACAACCACAAGACATATTGAATAAAATGTCGATATTCATCTCAGACAAGGAAATAGATATTTTCGAAGAGATTATGGTACCGACCATACACATTCATCATGTTTCATCTCTGTCCTCGAACTCACGACCTACGTTACCAAAGCGCATAGCCTAGACATATCGGCAGCTCCTACCACTACACAACATCAACTTAAAAAGAAGGTGTCTATGATACAGTGACGACTAAGCCGAATATCTCGACATAGTCATAGTGACAAATCGTCTAGTAATGATATGAGTACATTGCATCTGGATCGCAATGTATACATATAGACCTGGATACGCATTCAACAAATATCATTATATATCACCC